TTTTACAACTTGCCAAGTTGATGAGCTGTGGTTGATCAATATTATAGTTCAAGTAGTTGGAGAAAGCTCCAAAGCAAATAAGGAGACTGACAAGGTATATAGGGTTAAGATGAATGATTATAGTAATTAATTGTTGTTAATTCAGAAAAATACCTTGAGAGTATAATTCCAACTGCTTGCAGACAAAACTCCCACCTCAAAAACCCAAAAACAGACAGGACCCTGGTGTTGTTTTCTGACTTTGTGCTCATCTTCACCTGCTTTCTTCACCTGTTTTCTGTCTTTGTCACCTACTGAATGTCTCCCTACAACATGCTCTTATTCATCACTTTTGAAGCCATATTTAATGGAAAAGTAACAAAAATAAGCAACCTTAATGTGTGAATGTAAAAGTGCAACAATCATTTGATTGGCTGAGCATACAGAGATTTATAAAATATTTTCACATTATCAATCTACCATTTTAAGTGTTTTTTTATTGATCTCATTATCTAAGAAATGAAATCCAATTTTACAAAGTTGGGCATGTGTAGTAGTAAAGGTCCCAGCAACATGTAGATTAAAATTGGGGCTACAAAAGGAACGAGTTACCAAGTGATGTTATATTCGTGGCCCACTTTGGTTCAAATGTTGGCCTAAAAGACATACAGAAAGGGATCAGAGTTGGTTTATATTGGGCCACTTGCACTTCTTTTGGGTTTCATTAGTTGCCCGTTTATTGGAGCAAAACAGCTCTGTTCATCTCCAATTCCTTAGTCTGAAGCAAACCGATTCAACAGTCAGATTTTACCTGAATTGAACTGAAAATGAGATTCATCTGTCACATAGAACTGTCCATTCTAAGAATACGTTACAAACTTTTATAATGAAGCCGAAGGATCCAAAACAATGCTTACCTCATTACCTGAAATCATGCTTTCCATACTTTGATCTCACGACTTAAAGCTTTCTAATCCGAGATTGAAATATGGATTGCTGATTGATCTGTGCAGTCATGACATTACAACGTGAAGAAGTGCATATGATGAATGGGTTAAGGTAGGTAAAAGTAGTAAAATTTTAGATTCTATATTTAATTCAAATATTCAAATAAGTTATATTGTTTTACTTGTAGGCTCATCAGGATACTGGTGGTTTATATGAAAAAAATTTTCCTGACTATTATGCTTTGGGAGAAATATTTGGAAAAGATCGTGTCACTCGTCAACATGTAGGTATTGTTGAAGATGAAGAAGAAGAAATTAGATTGGAGGATGCTAACTCAACATCATGGTTCCCGCGTGGATATCAATAGTTCCGACATACATTTTGACACTTAAAATGACAAATTCAATCCGTTTGACGATGAAGGGACATCATTCTCTCAGTCTCAATCTCAACCTCAACCCAATTTCACAGATAAAATTTCAAGTAAAGGTTGTAAAAGGAAAGCATGCAAAACTGATGGATTGAGTCATCGTATCAAATGTATGGAAAATTCTGTGGCAAAAAAGTAGCACCAAAGTTTGATGGGCTTATATTCCAAATGATAGACAAGTAGCTAATATACAAGACCAACTGACTGATGAGTTAAAAAAGATAGGTGGACTATCTAATTTACAACTTTTTAAGGTTACCAAGATCACATGACTTGACTGTTTTTCACCCTAAATGGAGAGGAGAATAAATAGTAAGTTAAAAAGATAGGTGCTCTTTTTTTTTTTTACAAACTTTTATGTTTACGTTTTTTTAATCAAACTTCTATGTTTACTTATTGGTTTTGTCATGAGCATGATTTATACGTAATAATAATATCTAAGTATGAAGATATTTTAAACTTTCAATATAAAATAAAATTTATTGCTATTAAATAATATAATGTACTTTTAAATTAATTACAAATACATGAAGGTATTTGAAATTTATATTTAATTATTTAATTATTTAATTTTACTATGTTATTATTAATTATTATTATTATTAAATATTAGAATAATAAAATTTAATAATGTCATATTAAATTATGATTATACTAATAAGAAATAATTTTAAATAACATTAAATATTATTAAATAAATAATTAAATCTTAGAAATTATTAGTTATAAAAAAAAAGAGGTATATTAGTAATCGTTTCCAATTCCAATTCCTTTTAGTAAATAGATTCCAATTCCAATTCCTTTTAGTAAATAGTATCAAAGATTTCTGATTCCGATTTTAGAAAATTTCTGGTAAACAGCATGAAGAAATGTCATTCTCATCGATTGATCTTCAGATTTCCATTTCTTCGGGTAAACAAGATCTAATGCAATATTTGAAAAAAAAAAATACAAAGTTACGACATCCTTCTAAAATTCTTATAAGATCATGTTATGTAGTAAAAATTTCTGAACATGGGGGAGCTTTCTAAAAAGTACAAGATAAGCTACAAAAGTAGAGCCCAAAAAATAAATCTCAATTGACAAATTATTTTCGATTTGGTCTAAAAATCGAATGAAATCGCTCAAAATTTCTGGTTCAAGGTGACGTTTATCGTCACTTCTTTCATAAATTTTGTTGAAGTATTTCAATTTCACATGCGCGACTCCGAGTTCGAGTTGTAAATATTCATGTTCAAGTGGTGAAATGAATGATGAAACCTTCACCCTTTTTTAACAGTTAGCTCTCTCAATCTCTGTGAGTTTGCCGCCAGCGAAATCGCCGATGGATTACAAAACTTTGGACTCCATTACTGTTATCGACATCGAAGCTCTCGGGGTTGCTTCTGAAGTTGCCGAGAAACTCCATGGACTTCTCAGCGAAATCATCCGTAGCCACGGCAATGGCACGCCTGAGACTTGGCGCCATATCTCGAAGCGTGTCCTCAGCCCTGACCTTCCCTTCTCCTTCCACCAGATGATGTATTACGGCTGTTACAAACATTACGGTCCTGATCCGCCTGCTTGGATTCCCGAGCCGTGAGTTCCTCTCAATACTTTCACTTTCTCAAATAAGTTATTGGTTTTCGAGAGAGCTATGTGCTGAATGCTTCTGGTTGGCTTTATGTTTTCAATGGTTATTTCAATTTTAGCGTATGGATTGGGTAATATCGGATTAAGAGGTAGATTGGACTCGAAAACGATGTTTATTTTTGGTACTGCAATGCAAAGTTTGATATGTGGATAGTTGTGCTCTAATGAACTTAGGAGAGTATATCGTCTAAGGTGAATCAAGGATTGGCTTGTTTAATTTAATTTTTGAACTAGCAGCAAATAAAATCATGTGGGATGTTCAGATTCCTGCAAACTTTTCTCTACTCAGATTATTAGCAAAAAGTACTGTGAAATCATATTTGATGCTTCTGCATAATTAGGGAGAATGCAGTTTTCACAAATGTTGGCCAGCTATTAAAGAGGCGAGGGAAGGAGTTTTTGGGGTCAAATTATAGAGACCCCTTATCGAGCTTCTCCTCTTTCCAGGAGTTTTCAGTCTCAAACCCCGAGGTACTACTGGTTTTGAAATCGAGTTAGTAATCCAACTTTTTTTTATTAAATTGTTTGGAATAAAATTGTAATTCAGAAGATGCTACGTTTTGCTGTCTTCTGTTTGCAAGGTCTATTGGAGAACTATGCTAGACGAGATGCACATAACATTTTCTAAACCTCCACATTGTATCTTGCAAATGAATGATTCTACAGAAAGCCAATTTTCAAGCCCTGGCGGTCAATGGCTTCCTGGAGCAGTTTTTAATCCAGCCAAGGATTGTTTATCTTTAAACGAGAACAGGAGTCTGGATGATGTGGCAATCATTTGGCGTGATGAAGGATGTGATAATCTGCCCGTGAAAAGATTGACACTTGGAGAACTGCGCACAGATGTTTGGTATATTACTGTCCATGTCATCTCCTGTTTTCCATGATTACAGCCTAGCATTTTTCTTATCAGAGATTCAGAGTTTTTAGAATCTAAGTACTAATATCAGCAAGTTGAGAGTTTTTATTGTACATATTAAGCGTATACTGCATCTTAGCATTCCCTCTCTCATTCCCAATCCCGGCGAGAAGTATCTCATGGGGCATCTTCACTTCAGACTCAAATACCCTTTCTCATTACCCTTTTAGTGAAGCATTTATGAATTTTACGTTTGGTGATAGTGGGATTTTGGAGATGCTAGCGAAGTAGATTTAGTTGTAAGTCAATCTGTTTAATTCCTCAATTTAGTGGAAGAGTTTTTCATGCCCAAATGCACTGCAGAGGGGAAATTTTAGCATTTAATTTTTCTTTTTTTTTTTTTTTGGTGGGACTAGTGGTTTTTAAGTGAGATTTGATTCATAAATTGTAATACTCGCGTATCGGTTAAGGTTCTTTCTCATAAAATAACTGAGGGATTAAACATTGTAGGTTAATTGCACATGCTCTCAACTCAATAGGTTTTGAGAAAGGAACTGCAATAGCAATTGACATGCCAATGAATGTAAATGCTGTGGTCATCTATCTTGGTATAGTTCTGGCTGGTCATGTGGTTGTCTCCATAGCTGATAGTTTTTCTGCACGTGAAATATCCACAAGACTCGATATATCAAAAGCAAAAGCTATATTTACTCAGGTAAGTACAACTCTCCTTTAGAAAAGAGATGACCAAGTCTTGAAATGGTTTAATTTCCGTGGTTTATTGTCTCAAATGCTGAACGTGGAAAGTTTGAGCTGGTTGAAATTTCAGTTTGTTTCTTTTAATGAGTTCTGTTCAATTGATACAAACAGTACATATGTAGCACTGTTAAATCAATTTAACATGTTAGCTAACACAACAAAGAGATCCTCCTTTGGGGGATGGAATCTTAACAAATATATCTGGAATTATATGGCTTAATCCCCAATTTACTTTTTGTTTTTTACAAACTGCTTAAGCTTCCCTATTTCACACGCCCTTTCCTACCTGATGTAATGAATTTAGAATCCATACTATGTTTAGCAAAGCACAATAAGTCAAATGCTTAATAAAACAGAGGATTTAGCTTGTGCAATGATTTTACTTACCTTTTCCCTTGATCAACAATAAAAATTAACATGTGTCGTTTTTGGAGAGCTCGTTTAATAAACTGTTATGATTCATACTATGAATATTTTACCATCTATCTGTTCTCTCTACGTTCAGAATATCTAATCGGTTTTGTTTCCTTGAGTTACATTTCATTCGATTAAAAAATCCTTTAACATCTATGTTCTTTATGTTATTATCATCCTATACTCAGTTTTATATCTCTTTATTTAATTTTTTCGATTATAACCTTCTTGCCTGCTGCGAAGTTCAGGATCTTATTATTCGTGGGGATAAAAGCATACCCTTGTACAGGTGAGGTTGCATTACCTTCTCCATCGAGTTAAATATGTGGCCCCTCACTGAAATACTCCTGTAATTGGTTCAACATTGCAGTCGAGTCGTAGATGCTCAGTCACCTATGGCAATTGTAATCCCCAGCAGGAGCACTGGTTTCAGCAGGAAATTGCGAGATGAAGATATTTCTTGGCATGCATTTCTGGAGAGAGTCGAAGATTTGAGGTAAGTTGACTAGGTTTCTTAATTATACTTGTCTATTTTCAGGTTCTTTACCCAAGAACTTTTTGTTCGTAGTTCGGCTCTTAATGATCGAATATTTTTAGCTTCCATTTGATAATCATTTTATTTCATCCATTTGATAATCATTTTATTTCAGGTAGACTGTTTTGGGAAATTTAGCTTAAAAATACCACTTTCATATATGTATTTTTTTTGTTTTATTATCTACTTTTTCAAAATCTAAAGCCAAGTTTTGAAGAAAAAAAATTTAGAAACTTATTTTGTTTTTAAAATTTGGCTATGGATTGAGGGGTGTTTTTCTCCAAAGATCTATGTGAGATTAAAGCATGATTTAAAAATACAAATAAAATTAAAAACATAATGATTATCAAAATGAGTATACAAATTATGTCCTCTTTATGACGATGCTGCATTAAGTTCAAGGAGGTCTCTTACTTATATCTTAACACGATTTGGTCACTGGAACTAAATCCAGATTAAATATTTAAAAATATTCTCAAAATGCAAAGAAAGAGAAATTCAGCGCAATTGATTGGCACCTATCTGAAAATAATAATAATAATAATAATAATAATAAAATTCTGGTTGAGCCGTTGCCGTTGTACCGTCTCGTACGTATTAATTTGATAACGGTTTGGTTCGGTCCGGCTTTGGCCAGAACTGGATCCCGGCTGAACCTTTCGGTTTTCAGCTGCCCTAAACTGAAAGAATCCTTCCTTTTTTTTTCTTTTTCTGGAAAGGCTCTCTTTTCTCGTAAAATGTTTGACCTAGCCTAGCCATTCGATTCGTGAAAAAGTGAGCGAAAAACTTACTTTTTCTATATCCAGCGACGAAGGCGGAGAGCAGACACCTCAGTTGTTAGCGTCTGGTGAGAGATGAAATCGAAGAGAAGAAAAATGGGGATAGGAAAAGACAGGTGGCGTCGTGTGGGGCGGCTGCAGCGAAAGAGGAGAGGTAGGGCACCAGAGAGAGAGTCTAAAAGAGAAGAAGGGTGACATCGGCGTGGGACGGCTTTCAAGAGTTGAAGGGGAAATATGATCTAAACGTGGGTCAGAAATTAGTAGAGACTGGGGCTATGTCGGCTGCCGGCTGGTCATGGGGATGCGAGGAGGCAGTTGGGCTGAGGGGAGAGGAAGGCTGGGTAGCGTGGGGTGGCGGGTTATATATCTATTGGAAAATTTATGTTCTGTTAAACCCTCAAAATTGAAGGACTAAAAAGGGACAATCTTTTTTACATGTTCAGTTCGGTTCCATTTTTTGGTTTTATTAAATATCACGGATGTGACGGTTTGACGAAACCATAATTTAAAAGAACCGGACGAATCAGATTCGGATTGGTTTTCTCTGACCCCGTCCAAAGTACGGTAGTTATTAACTACAGCGTGTTCTTCAATAATATAATAGTTGAACCAGTCTAGAAGCTTGTTTAAGTAATGATTACACTTGCATTGAAAAGAACAAACATTTCGCTACCTCTAGTTAATAACATAATTTTATAAGCAAGATTCTGGCCCGGGCTAAACAAGCCTGTGATACAAACTTTCAAGAGTTAAAGGGGACGTATCATCTCTTCTCCGTCCATGTTTGCAATTTTTCGCCAGCATTCTTTAAATTCATTAGTTGAGTTCTCCATCAACTATATATTCTCTAAAGATTCTATAGAACCCGTGTATACATTGAATGATTCAACGTGATGTGATATATATTGATTAATGTTGGTTTTGTTAAATCTTATGCCATTGGTATATTTTAAATTTTCTATATGATTCTTGCAGAGGAGTGGAATTTGCTGCTGTGGAACAAGCAGCCGAATCATTTACAAATATTCTTTTCTCATCTGGAACTACAGGTTATTTCAGAATTTGGTATTTTGCCTAATGATCTCTATTATTTAATGTCTATGCTTGTGCATTTGAGGTTTCCTTGGCAAAATGTTTTATTTTATTTGGATTCAGAATGCAATAATATATGCTGAAATGTAAAAATTGTGAAGGGAAGTCTGAGGTTAAGCTGTTTCTGACCTAATTAGAAACAGAACAAACTTCTTTAAACTACCGTACATCATCCCATTTACCATATAGAAGAGCAAAAGATCTATCCCGTAAAGGCTTCAAGTTTTCAGCACATGGGGATTCTCACTTAAGTTCTATCATATAAACGATTAGATTCTTCAGAACTCTCGTGTGTTCTCTAAATCAAATACCGTGACATGAAGCTAAACAAACAGAAGTTCAGAGAGATTTTCTTTCACTATATAAACCTCCAAGCAAAACCGTGGAAATGACCAACTTGCGTTGGTTGTAAACTTGGATCTTTTCTTGCAAAAATATCAAAGAAATTGCAATTACCAAACAGCATGAATTTTGTGATGGACCTTCAATAATAGAAGGAAAACCATGGACAAGGAAGGTGAAATTGACTATACAAAAATCGTTACAACCTTGTTTTCATTAATTTTTTAAAAGAAAAGTAGAAAACCCAAATCCCAAAAATACTTCTTCATTGATTTCTTTTGTAACATCCTTGGCTTGTGATAAGTCAGAGTGGTTTTACTTTTATAGGTTGGCTATTTTTTTGTTAGGCAATGAACAGATTTTAGACTCTTGGGTGCTGAGGAGTGTCATCCTCTTCCTAGTACTTAGAAAGTTTTTAATTCGGGGCATAAAGCTTAAAATATGGCTTGCCCTAGGTTGCTTTGCTCAAGTCTGCAAAATCCATTCAAGTCCGTCCAAGAACTCAAATTCAACTCACCAGTTAGATGTAACAAAAGAAATTGAAACTTTCAATTAGGTATGTGACTTATTTAATTTAACTATATAAAAGAAAGTCTTTTGGAGACACTTAAAAACATTGAACTCGTAAAGAATCACAAACAATAATGGCTCAAGGAACAGATATTCAAACATGGCCAACGTCTTTTGTCATTGATAAATCATGCTATGAAGGTGGATCTAATGGTTCAGCCGGTGCATGGTGCACATGAACATTCATTCTCATGCTTTTAAGTTTTATGTTTAATCGTGTAACGTTTTTTGGTCAGGAGAGCCAAAAGCAATTCCATGGACCCTTGTAACACCTTTGAAAGCTGCAGCCGATGCATGGTGCTACATGGATATTCATAAAGGTGATGTTGTTGCTTGGCCCACTAATCTTGGGTGGATGATGGGTCCCTGGTTAGTTTATGCTTCATTGTTAAACAGCGCTTCAATGGCATTATACAATGGATCCCCACTTGGTTCTGGATTCGTTAAATTTGTACAGGTTAACCTCTTATAAAGCGTTATCACATTTTTTTTCCTAATTTTCTTTTTCAATTTATTCGTTTCAAATTTATTGTGTTCTTGAATCAAATTAGTTCAAAATGCTTTTGCAATATTCTGAATAAAATTTACAATGGTGCTTTCTTTAAGAATTTTAGTCTGTTTCTAAATATTATAATTGTTAGTTTATTAAATATTCTATATAAATTCTTATTAGATATAAATTTTTTACCATCTTAGAAAGTTATTTTGTGAAGAAGCTATTTTAAACTTTTAATAGTAG